GACACAGCATAGGTTTCTGACACAGAATGAATGTGGTCTAAGAACTTAAAAATTTTAAATTGGACATTCACCTATTATGGTCCAATATCCAAAATCTAAATACATGGTTAGATTCAGCATAACAAAGAACCCCAAGAATTCAATTTTTGATGAAATCAAACAAAGTTTAATTTTGGACCCTTTTGACCTCAATGTGGACAAAGTTGATAACGGGGCCCAAAAATCAAAAATCTAAATACATGGTTAGATTCAGTATATCAAAGAACCCCATATATTCAATTTTTGTTGAAATCAAACAAAGTTTAATTTTGGACCCCGATTTGGACCAATTTGAAAACTGGGCCCATAATCAAAAATCTAAATACATGTTTAGATTCAGCATATCAAAGAACCCTAAAAATTCAATTTTTGTTAAAATCAAACTAAGTTTAATTTTGGACCCTTTGGACCTTAATGTAGACCAATTTGAAAACGGAACCAAAAATTAAGAATCTAAATACACGGTTAGATTCGGCATATCAAAGAACCCCAATAATTCAATTTTTGATGAAATCAAACAAAGTTAAATTTTGGACCCTTTGGACCTCAATGTGGACCAATTTAAAAACGGGGCCCAAAATCCAAAAACTTAATACATGGTTACGGGTAGATTCATCATATTGAAGAACCCCAAGAATTCAAGAATAAAACCCCATTGAAATTGATCAAGAAATAAGCAATTTATACGAAGTATCTTCTTTTGCACAATACTGTGCAATTGAATATTTCTTGCTATTGCGCAATACTGTACAATTGACAATTTCTTGCTATTGCGCAATATTGTGCTATTGGATACTTCTTGCTATTGCGCAATACTGTGCAATTGAAGATTTCTTGCTATTGCGCAATACTGTGCAATTGAAGATTTCTTGCTATTGTGCAATACTGTGCAATTGAAAATTTCTTGCTATTGCACAATACTTATTATATAATAATTTATACATCCTGTTTGGTGTGTATCTCCTACCATATCATTATTATTTGCTTTTAAATATAAATCAGAAATAACCAACTTAAAATGGAAAATTTTAAAAGAAAAAAAAAAGGAAAAAAAGAAAAAAAAAGAAACCCCCCCCCCAATTTTTTGAACCCCCTTATGATTCATCACCCCCAAACTCAATCCCAGCCTTCCCTTTGTGGTATGGTACCTTGCAGTACAATTTCAGAGAGATCCATACACTTGAACACAAGTTATTGTCTGGAAACTAGAAAAATGCTTATTTTTGGCCCCTTTTTGGCCCCCAATTCCTAAACGTTTCGGGCAATTACCCCCAAACTCAATTCCAGCTTTCCCTTTGTGATATGGAACCTTGTAGTACAATTTCAGAAATATCCAAACACTTACACACAAGTTATTGTCATGAAACTAGAAAAATGCTTGTTTTTTGCCCCTTTTTTGGCCCCTAATTCCTAAAATTTTGAGGCAATTACCCCCAAAATCAATTACAGCCTTTCCTTTGTGATATGGAACCTTGTGGTACAATGTCAGAGGGATCCATACACTTACACACAAGTTATTGTCTGGAAGTTACATAAATGCTTATTTTTGGCCCCTTTTTGGCCCCTAATTCCTTAACTGTTGGTACCATAACCCCCAAAATCAATCCCAACCTTCCTTTAGTGGTATTGAACCTTATGGTTAAATTTCATGAAAATCCATTCACTTAAACTAAAGTTAGAGTGCGAAAACCAATGTGTCTTCGGACGACGCCGTAAGACGCCGGACGACGACGACGACGACGACGACGACGACGCCAACGTCATACCAATATACGACCAAAAAAATTTTAATTTTTGCGGTCGTATAAAAACGGGAAAGTCCATAAAACCTTACAAAAGCAAACGCTCGACTATATCAACCAACGAAACGAATGGAAAACAACTGTCATATTCCTGACATGGTGCAATCATTTTCCGAAAAAAAAATGGTGGTTGAAACCTAGTTACCTGCAGTCATGATTTAAATCCTTTTTAACTGATTTTCATTTCATGTTGTCACACCAAGGCTAGGGAGGTTGAGCGCTCACAATCACGATAAACAGAATAGCATGTTGCATGTGTCTGTCCCAAGATAGGAACCTGGGTACCAAAAAAGATCGGGTACCAAAAAAGAATTGTTTTCATTGGTTGCTGCCTGCCATACTTTGTTAACGTTTATTATTAAAATTCAGGCCATTGGTTTTTTCTTTTGAATTATCACATTTGAAATTCCCGGCGCCTTCTATATTTTACTGTACTTTATGGTTTTACACATTATAGAAGGAAGTTCAGTGATCTGTAATTTTTTCACAACTTTGTTCCTTGATGCGTGATGCTTAGTTGTCTATCTCTTCATTTGTATATCATAAACGTTAAGAAACCATGACATGCACTGACAAATACCTGATCTGACACAGAAATAAGTAGATTGGTAAATCGTATTTCCTGCGAAAACAACCCTCCCCCTTTAATCTCCAACAATGGAAGAAAATAATTATGAACAAAATATTAAACTTCACAAAACATTTTTGTGTCACATATATGTCTGTTAAAACGAACTAGACATATATTCCAGGTACCGTGAATATGTTTATCAATGGGATTTTCTTGATGAATCCTGACAATCGGTAATATGTAGCCTTCATATCATAATAGTTGCAATTGACACTACACTTGATAACCATCCTGACCAGTTCATTTTGATATCCCCTCCCTTGTTGTAATGTTTCCTTTAACTGATAATAATATTTTACTACTACTCTGGTTAGATTTTTCACAATTTCGAATAGTATGTTATGTTTGTGTATGTAGTAGATTCATAGGCTTGAATCGATGGAAATTTCTATCATAAGGGTATTATTGTATCAAGGATTTTCAAAATATTATTTTTTGTCAATCTAATATTCATTTGATATTAGTTTTTACAGAGCAAAAACTAAGTACGTTGCTTTAATTTAAAAAAGGAAACTACTTTAAATGTTCTTGTCTTTCACAAAGACAAAACAATTATTAAGTGCATTTAAACATTTTACGTCAAAACTGATGTTGTGATTTCGAATCTCGCACGTTGCAGTTGCGCTCGACTCCAATCTTAATTGATTAGGATTGTCAATTTTCCTACCGAAGTTCGGAGGTTCTCTCCGGGCACTCCTCCACCAGTAAAAACTGACCGCCACGAAATAGCACAATAGTACTGAAAGTGGCGTTAAACACCAATGGATCAATCAATTAAGTATTTCAAATTGTTTCACTAAATTAACAAATGGAAAGAAACAATTTTGGAAGTATTAGTACTTAAACTTTCATGATCCATTACAATTCAGTATTGTGGTGATAAATGCAGATAGATATATCCAAAAAAGAAAAAAACAATATAATTGTATATTTTGTAAAATGTTATATGCAACTGAAAACCCAGAATATCGTTGAGCATGTTAAAAACTATTATTTTACAGTCATATTGTCAATAAAAAGAAAATTACGTATTTTGTTACTGAAATCATGAAATAAATTATAGTTTCATGATGGTAAAATAAAACTGTGTGTATTTTGAACCCATAAAGTACAATTTAAGTGGGAAGATTTTTGTAAAACTAGAAACATTTAATTTATCTATATCACGCAAGAAAAAAATAATGAAAAAACGAAAGCACATGTTAAATAAGTCTGAATTCATGAATAGTAATACTGATGTTAATAATGATAGTTTTAAATGATATATCAAACTCTTGTTAGTATGTTGATGATAATTACTAGAAGATACATTATGTACAGGTGTAATGTTTTGCTTAAAACAGTAACAAGCAAGAAACACTATGTAATACGCATGAACTATGGAAGGAATTCTAATATAAGTATATAAAAAGTTTCACAAAAAATTCATAATAGCCTTGAATAAGGCAACGGTAGTTTATCGCTATTTAAATCTCATAAATGGATTGAAAGGACACAAAGCAATGTAACAAACAAAAACTGAGTAAATATGCATCCATAAACCGCCATGTGAATTCATCAATGTTCTATGTTGTGGTTTGTGTACTGTTGTTTATCTTTTCGTTTTTTTTTCTTTCGTTTTTTGCCATGCCATTGGCAGTTTGTTTTCGACTTATGGTTTTAAATATTTATTTGGTATCTTTCGTCTCTCTTTCAATATAATTACTGAACAGACGATCTTAGTTTGGAATTATGGTTTAAAAATGGAAGTATATCATCGATATAGTTGTTCATAACTTCTTTAGATTCTGAGCTTGACATGTGTTACATATAGTTTTGCATGTGTATTGTTTTAGAACGTATGTTGATCTCTAGATATGAATGCAATGATATGTAGGATATAAGTCAATGAGACAGCATACAAACAATATAAAAAGCCAAAAAGACATCTATACGCTTTTGTTGTTTTGTGTATATATTTGACTGATGTCTAAGTAATATAAAACTATTATTGATATAATTCGGAATAAATGAGCACTCAGGTAATCCCACATATAAAAACATATCATTTGACAAGGATGAGATTTTGGCGAATCAAAAGTCCTTCATGGTTTCAATGAACATTACATTGAACAGCAAATCTAAGGACTCATCTTGTTTGTATTGGATACCTAAGCTTCAAAAAATTCCGTACAAACAACGGTACATTGCTGGTGTGTCTGCATGTTCTACAAAAGTAATTAATTTCTATCAAAACGTTTGATTTTTCATCCCTGTATACCACCAGTCCCCATATGAAATTTTGCCATTTTATAAAGGACTTTCCGTTTTGAGTTCGGTATTTTTGTTATTTTACTTTTTATTAATACAATTGAATTAAGTTTATTTTAAAAAAAAGTTCATGTAGATAAGGTTTAGAAAACGACTAAACCCATTTTGATAGATATTGAATTTACCGTTTTTCCTACCTTATTAATAATCTCCTTTTCCCACTCAATTTTAAATAGATCATGAATTGTGCATATACAAATAATAAATTGACTACTCACATACGGAAATATCTATTTGTCTATTCAACGCTGTTATCGATAGAGTGCTTCCTTTTTTGTAACTACTGGTTGCATTACATTTATTTCGAATAAATGTTTTAAAATAAAAAAAACAAATAACGTCCTCTTTACATAGATATAGGTTAAAGACGGTCGAACTATTGTCGTATTGTCAAAGTAAACAAGTAGGTAATATTTAAATATATATCAATTGGTTTACAAATTGTATGTGCAAGGACATAAATGTATATATCTTTTAAATGACAACGATGTCACGTACTTTCTTATCAAAATACTCGATTTAATTTTTAATGTATAAGAGATACAACAATTTAAATTTACAAGGAATAGAATCATCAATGTTTTAATACGGTCCTTGATTATTAGACGTTCACCATACTAAAATCTAAACTTGCTTTAAACCATTCAGGTCTTTACAAATTATAAGAGAAGACAAAAAAATACAATATTATGACAAAATTCTCAAAATAGAAAAAAAACAATGATGTGCTGATTCGAAAGCCTTTGAATTGATTCTTAATGTATGTTGTAACGCAGTCTCAGGTAAAGGGAAATGGCTGAGAGCAGACAAACTTGTTAAACCCAATCACATTCTGTATGTTTCTATCTAAAGCAAGGTAAAAATTACAAGTTAGAATTTCCTTGAAAATGCATCCATGTCGCTGGATGCTATAGAGATATGGGCTTACACTTTTGTAAGTTATTTAGCGGTATCACCTTTTTCCCATGACCCTCTGTTATTCTTCTATTTCTAAAATAATTTATTTAATTCATTTAAACAGGACACAAAGATAACAAATTAATATTATAGATAGCATAGATTAAAACGAATTCTATGATTAGTTTTGAGAATGCAAAAGTAAATGTGTAGTAAGTTTGTCTTATTGTAAATTGTAAATATATCTAAACACAATATTTTGTCAAAACTATTTCTTCCAATGTCTTGGATAAATCTTTGCATAACGAATTTTCAGTACAGACGTCAGAGGAAAAAATACATGACACCATCACCAGTATATTGGCGGTTTGGCGGTTTTCCATAAAATATTAAATTGAACTTAAAGTTCACACTTCACACTCAAATTGATGCATATTTTATGGTGGACCAACAAAAAATCATTAAGCAACTATTCCTTCTCTAACATCTTGTCTGTGTGATGGTTGAATTTGAGCTTTACATCTAGTAAATATACTTGTCTATTGTTGAATTCCATATGTTGACTTCTAGTTAGGACAAATAGATATGTAGGGGATACGTCAATGAGACAGCTATCGAACAACACAACAAAACGGAAAAAACAAGGAGATTATTTTCCGTTTTGTTACAGTTGGATTGCAGTATTGTTCGTAATCGTACATCAATTTTTTGGTTCGTGTAAATGTTTATTTTTTATAATAGTGTCGTAGGTCTATTGCAGTTTGGCAACAGTGTATACAGATTAAGTGTGCAAATGACAAAAACGAGGTGGATCATGTACTTCATACATCAGTGTTCTTTATATTACAAATGAATGTTCGACTATTTTCATTTTCACATAGTTGATCATGAATGGTACACGGTCGATTTCCTGTCAAAATTGCCATCATTAAACTGTTTTTTTTTTTTTTTTTTTTTTTTTTTTTTTTTTTTTTTTTTATTTACTACCATGGATTGCATTAGACTTCAGAATAAATGTAAAAAAATCTCATCTCGTTATATGTAATAATATATAAAAAATAAAGACGATTGTCGCATTTTTTAATAAGTACTATTGAAATAGATAATTTAATTTAACAATTATATGTGCAAAGTTATATTACTTAGTGTTAAATATATTCGTGAAACCTTTATTGATAAGGAAATAATCTTCTTACTTTCTGTTCTATCAAAACATATTTTATTTCTAATTATTCATTTATCGTGACTCAATACGGAAACAAATCTAATTATTTTTATTACTATAAAAAAAAAAGCGTAAACATGTTGCCTCATAACTTTTTGAATATATGTATTGAAAGAAATATCCTTTGTATTGGCAGGAAATATGCCGCACTTTGTTCTGAGTTCAACCCGTGTTTAGTGAGTTTCGTGTATCTCAATCTCTTATCCATTCCTGCGAAGCGTTGTGTGTTATTGTTGTTTGTCCTTTTGTCGATTTTCTTTTGACCATGATTTTGTATGGGTTTCCTTGACCTATAGATTTTGATTGCCCTCTTGGCATCGTCTCCCTCATATTTCTAGTGTTCTTGTCTTTATACAAATCAGAACTATTCAGCGCAATTAGTAGAGTCAAATCCACTAAATATACCTAACGGAAAAATACACATATCATACTATGAAGATATTTATTTTGATGGAGTGATCAACTTTAATGGTCATTGGAATACACAAGTAAAATTTATGCAGTGTCGATTGCAGTCGTTTTTTTCTCATAATTCTGTTAGAGCAGAAATTGTGTAAAGAGCACGTCCCTTCTTACAAAGTCCGTATATTTAGAAAATACATGAGCGTAACGAAGAAAAACCGTATAAAATCGGTTTTTTTCTTCATTTTCACACATTATGTGTTGATTATGACATAATGACATGGTAATTCTTTGTCAATAGAGCAAATTTATACATACAACAACAGAATGATAAAGCCTAGCGACATGGGCTACTATGCAGTAACAAAAAATTATACCATAACAACGATTGCATTTTTATCGAAGGCAAATTATATTAAAATATCGTCATTTTTTTTCTATGGACGATTGAGGGTAATTTTTTTTAACAAATTGAGCATATAAACCTTATGAATCAGGTAGAATGTCAGGTAACATATGCAAATTATTGTAATGATCATATGTGGGCAATAAATTCAAATCGTAATAAATTTTCAATAATGATTGAACCCTTTTAGTCGCAAAATAGTGACAAAAGCCCAGTTTCTTTATTTGATCAAGAAACATTGAAGATATAACCACTATTTTCATCATTTGATTTGTTTTTTGTTGTAAAAATGAGAAAAGATAAACTTTTTGGTTTGCTTCTCTGCTTTATATGCTTTACCTTACCACATTATGTATGTGTCTGTTCAAAGTGAGAAAAATTTAAATTAATCGGATCGATGGTAACTTTAAGACATATTAGTGTTTTCGTTTATTATTTTGTCAAATATCGGGCCGTTAATTTTCTCTTTTGAATTGTTTTACATGTTGTCATGTTGGGTACTTTTATATATTCTCATTGCCGAAGACCATACGGTGACCTATATTTGCTTTCATCTACGTCAAATAAACTGTGATGGTTTGTTGTCTCATTTGGCAATCATATCACATCTTCTTATTTTCAAACTGAGAGTGATATAACGATTTTCAATTCATTTGTTTTTTGGAGAAAATAGCTTTTATAGAAATATTCGTGTATTGTCTGTTCTCTTAATTAATCCATTAAAAAATATTATTTAGGCAATGGTATTTAAGCGATGTTGAATTCTCATGAATAGATTAAAAAGACAAATAATAAAATTATGGAGGACATGACCTCCAAAAGGATCGAGACCAGGTGCATCGACAGTATAGGCAGCTGACACTAAAATCAGTTGATAATGTTTAATTGTCAAAACAAGCTGTTGCTGATCTGTACTTTACTTTAAATATAAATATGCGTGAGTTTCTCGAGTATTCTAGTATGTCTTTGTTTAAAGGAAGTTAAACACCTACCTTAAATTGGTGTGTAAATGTCTGAGAGAAATAAGCAGTTTAAACACACATTATATACGTAACGAGTTATCTATATATGAACATACTTATACAACATATATAAATTCATATACTTTTTAAATTATTAATACATGCGGATCGTATTCTCTTTAAATCATTAAAGATATGAACAAAAGATATTCATTTGAAATCAAATCCAGTGATGTCAAAAAAACTTCAATCGTTTATGAATGTTTTTAAATCGCTCATCATTCTTGAATTGTTTAACAATAATGGTTAAGACTTTTGCTGTGCTCAATGCACATTCTGGGTTAAACCTCACCAGGAAAATTCAGATATATAAGTTTGGTGAAGCTGCAAGTGGACAATTGCAGGAGGAGATACATTATAAAGATTAACCATTTATCAACATAAAAGTCCCTTACATTTTAACCCACAATCACCGATGTGTTTACATGGCTCTTTTATACGTATGAATCTGTTGCCACAATTCGTTTAGAAATCAATACTGAAAAGATTGATTGATTGCTTTATTGGTATTTAATGCCACTTTTAGCACTATTGGCTATTTTGTGGTGGCCATTTCTGTTTTTTGGTGGATGAAGCTAGGGTGCACAGAGAGAACCACAGACCTTCGGTAGTAAAACTGACAATCCTAGTCAATTACGATCACGGTCTAATGTACCTGCTACTGAAAGAACAATTACTTATGATCAGCTTTAAACAATGATAAGTGAGGTTAAAAAATCCTTAATGTTTAAACAAAAAACTCAAATAACCATTCAGAGAAAGCATCTATGTTGTGTCATGTGTACTATTGTTTGTCTGTTAGTGTTTTTCTTTTTTAACCATGGCATTGTCAGTTTATTTTTCGACTTTTGAGTTTGAATGTCCCTTTGGTATCTTTCGCTTTTCTTTTAAGAGTGTTTAAGCAGTTTGTAATTATTTGACAGTTATTTTGTTTTCGAAAGAGAACCTTGCGTAAAAGATAGTAGTAGAGTTATTAGAGGTCGGTGACCTATCTAAACTTCATCTCAGAGAAGTCATAAATGACTTAATTAGATATTAAGAACGTCAGGAATGAAATGCACAAAATATTAAGCTAAATGTTTCTAAATCGTATTCTTTTTTTAAAGATTAGCTCACAACGATTACTTTTCGTATTTTTAAGAATTACTCCTTAACCTTTTTACAATAATACTTATTCACTAGGGATATATAAAATCAACAATAGGACATACTATACAAATATTGAGATAATGTTCTTTAGATTCGAAGTTTTATTTATTTTATATATAATCAGTGCACTTTCAGAGGCAATGGAAAGGACGTGGAAGTGCATCTATCTTGTTTACGTATAGGTTTTGATCACTGTAAATGCCCTGTATGAATATTAGATAATTTTACTTTCTACAGAATGATTTTTATTCCAATTGTAGTATCAGACAATTATTTACGTTTTGAGCCTGCTAGAACTGTCGATTTATACCAGTGAATTGAGATATTTTCTATCAGTA